GGCAGTTACCAAATTTAAGAACTCAGTGGTGTCAAACAATGTAACACACACAACAGGCACAATATGAGCTCAAAGGATCCAAACTTCAGGATAAAGGAATTCACTGAGAAGGTGCTGCAGCCCTGAAAGGGCTCACCAGGGAACCTAGGGATCTCCACTGCTGGGGGCTTTCAAAATGTAGTGGACAAAGCCACAACCAACCTAATCTGGCATTTTCGACAACCTTTATTCAAACTGAAAGCTGAACTTGAGACTCAAAATGACCCTTTTGCAAGCTCTTGCTCATCAATGAACTTGCATGATCTCCCCTACAGGTTGGCACTACCCCCTCAAGCCAAGTGCCTGATTTCCCTGAACACAACCAGTCCCACTAACCAGAGCAAAAGGATGGGCTGCAGCAAAGGCAGAGGTGCCCCTTTGCCAGGAGCTCTCAACACTGCACATCCAGCAGTGCCAGCCCCAACTGGGACAAGAAACCCTCCTTTGGCAGCCACCAGCCTGTTCCTGCCTCCTGTAGCTCCCTCTCACCTGTGCCTGCATTTTTCTGTGTGGGAGGGCCATGGTCCTGAGTGCTGGTGGGTGTTGGTGTGGAGGGCTGGGTGCTGCTGGGAACAGAGGCCTCCTGGAAGTGGGTGAGCGGTGGGATCGGTGTTTTCGAGGGTGCAGCTGCCTGGCACTGAATGAGGTCTTCAGGGGGAGGGACAGGGAGTACGACAGGAGGAGAGCTCCAAGTATCTTTGTTGACTAAGAGGACGTCGATGGGACCACTCGTGCTCTTCAGATGGATCTGGTATTTCTTCTGCCCGTTTTGGCCCTGGGAAAAGTCAAAAGAAAAAAACCACGGACATACATTAAAAGCCCTTTTCAAACAGAACATCAGTTTCCCACAGACAAGATGTACATGTGCACACACACACCTGCCCCCTGCCCATGTGTTTGTCACTCACCTCAGGGATGGGCACCTCCAAACGTGTGCCAGACGGGGCTCTAATCACAAGGAGGGTGTCTCCTGTGAAAACACACCAGTCAGTGCTCCGTGGGCACAAGCTGTTGTGATGATAATTAAGCACGGATGAAGAGACCCTCCCCAAACCCCCCATCTCCTGGCAATCCTCCAGGGTTACATCTACACCCCAAACACATCATACAGCTCCCAATGTGCCAACGGCCCAGGGCACAAAGTACCTGCAAAGTTTCTCCCAGGGCAACCCCGAAGTTTTTCAGCAGTGTCCTTATCAAGACTATTCCTTTTCCTTGGAAGGGCTGGCTTAAATTCACTCCTAAGGATATCTGAATCCTAAGGGAAGTATCCTTCATTCTGCTGTCAAAAGCTTTTGTATGTGAATTATAAACAAAACAGCTGGACTGCCAGTGGAGAGATGGGGTCAAAGCAGGCTCAGGAGCCAGGCTGCCAACCTCAGGCTGGTGTGCCAACACCTGAAACCAACACTCCCCAGTCTCTACTGGCAAGAGCTGCCTGGTGTTAGTTGTGCTGGACCCACCACAGAGCCCAGAATGTTTGGGGCTGGAAGCCAGGCTGACAACATCTTTCCAAGTCCTGCAGCTCCTTAAGACCTGTGCCCTGATAACTCAAGTCACAGGTGAGCAGCTCCCAGCCCATATCTGGGTTTAGAGAAATGTGAACAGAGAAATACCAGCTCTGTGAACATCTGACATATTTAGATCAAGCAGCCTGCAGCTTTCACTTTGAATGTTTAAGCTTTAGGGTGGTTAATATTCACAGTTAACCAGTATTCTGCATTAAGCTTCACTTGATAATTAACACAGAAGATCCCCAGAGCGATGAGAGAGCGTGGAGAGCAGAAAAGCACATCCCTTGATTTCAGGCAGGCAACCAAAGGTCAGATCAGCAAAAGGTAAAGGGATTAAAAATCACATAGGATTTGTCAATTAAATGGGACTTGTTTAACAAATCTACTCTTAAGAAAAATGTAAGAGGCATAAAAAATGGATAATACAGCTCAGAGACACCAGCTTGAGCTTTAAGACCTGTTAGTCTCTAAGACAGGTGCTGGGTTTCTATCTGCCTTGACAGATATGTCCCAAATAATTTTACAACACAGCTCACAATGCATTTCCACTTCCTTTTTGAATCTGCAAGTGCAAAATGCATCACAGCAACAGGTGGGAAAATTATATTTCCCAGTCACTAAAATCTAACATATTCTTACTTCTCTTTTTATTTTTTTTATTAATCCAAGTAATGAATTCATATTTGACAAGAGTCCAAGCATGGAAATCTTGGAGAAAGCAGGATCAATAGCAGTTGATTAGAAAAACCAGGATCTGAAATTCAGCCTGCACCACAGTTCAAGAACACGAGAGGTCCAACAAAGAATCTCTGTAAGACTCAGATGTTCAGGAGAGGAAAAAGCATCATGTAAGGCGTATTCATAGAGGAAAACTGGACAGACAATGGAAAAACACGGACTAGCCCTCTGTTCTAGAGGGAATTCAGACCTGCCCTCAGTAAGATCTAATCTCTGCATATTTTGGTGAGGTCTGACCTCAGACACAAACCGGTTTACAAAAACCAGGTGCAATAAAATGCAAAACACTCAACCAGCCAAGCAATGAGCTGTCTGCTGGCCTCCAGTAAACCCTTCCAGGCTGCTACGAGTGATGTGGCCCCAAGCACTGTCAAACTGAAAACACAATCCCTGCCCCCAAAGGTGCAGAAGCAGCAGTACAGCCGAGGGGGGGGTGGTGATGCAGTTGTTACACCAGCGGGAACCTGAGTAGCGTAAAAGCTGGTGAACAAGGAAAGCACAAAGGCAGTGATGACAAACAGAAGGGCTGATGAGGTGCAGGGTGAGAAGTGGGCTTGGAGGAGACAGGAGAGTCAGGCAGGGGTGAGATTACGGGTGGCTGGGGGCGGTCAGGATGAACAGCTTCAATCTCTGCAGCAGGCAAGCAGATGCAGGTTGCCAGGTCAGGAGAGGTCAGGTGTCCACCCAAGCAGAAAGGAGCTGTGACTCTGCACCACTACGGCTGGGAAGAACAGTTTGGGTAGTGCAGGCTGCCCCGTTGCACAGTGGCCACCGGGGTTATTTTGGCCTTACATCTGTCACTGAAATCAGCAACAGGACAAACAGAGACTCCGGTGGGTTTTCTTCACTCTTGCCCCAAAGAGACAGAATGTAAGACTTTGGATACAGGTCCCCATCCCAACTTTAGGAAAGCAGCACACAGGGGAGTGAGGGCAGGGCAAGTGGTCTATTTCCTTCTGTCCTGCTCTTCTCTATCTCCCTCTTGCAGTCTTGTTGGCAGGGAAGATGATGCAGCTGAGGGACCACCTTTCATACTACTTCCCTGCTTACAGCCCAATTTCTACCATGCAATCAAATGTTTTCTATTATAAGAACATTGCCCACCCAAGCCCTTAAAATAAAGGATTTCTAACATAACACTCATACACCCACACAGTGACACCCCAGCAAAAGACTTCCCTAGGAGCAACAGCTATATTCCTTTAAACACAAGTAAAAAATACTGCCTGCCCCCTCTGACGGTGACAAGAAAGCTGCAGTTCAGTGGTGAACAAACCAGGATGGCATCAGAGCTCACATTACTTTTAACTTGATGCTGGGCAGCCTGTGGTCTGCTACCCCCTCTTCCCTGGAGAAAGGAGAGCAACTGGGAGAGCCTGACAGAAGTGCAGAGTCACATCTTTTATCATGGAGCACCAATTCCTCACCTGTGAAGCACTTGCAGATGTCTTCATGTGTCACATATGCTAATGTTTCCAAGGTTAAGGAGAAAGGCTGCAGCTTCCTGCACAGACAGAGAGCTCAAAGGACACCTGATCTTTCCTTCATGAGCACAGGGAATGCCACTCCCAGAGGTGTCCCCATGCCACACTGAAGTGGTCTGCAGGTGAGGTCTGCAAGCTACGTGCTCGTCAGAGCTGACATCCTGAGATAGTTAAGCCACAAGAGCAGCTCTGCACGCAGGAAAGTGCCACCTGTGACTCAAAAAGAAGCACTTTTCTCACCATGGTAAACACTACCGTGTTTTTTGCTTCCACAAGACAGAGGAGAAGCTGTGCACTGCAGAGAAAGCAGCTTCCCAGGCTGAACAGTTACCCTAATTCCAAAGCCAGGCACGGCCTTTTGACTCTTGCAGTGCAGCTTCTCCAGCAGCAACAGCTCCCCACCAACCCAGCCCTCAGATCCCTGCTCTCCAGCCCAGCAAGCGAACATGAGTTCACACAAAGGATATCGACTGTTCTGCATGTCTTCTGTAACGTTTTTGATGCTCTGCTGAACCCACATCTTCTGCTGCTCCAGCTCCTGCTCCCGCTGCTCCAGGTCCTCTATGTCTGCCTTCAGCTCGATCAGCTTGTGAGCTATTTCCCGTGTGTTGCAGCCAGGACCCACCCCTCTGGGCAAAGTGAAAAGGAGTGAGATGCATCAGCCTCTGGAGGCAACCACAAGAGCCCCAACCTCTCAGAGATGTTTCCAGCCCCTTACTGCCAGCCCTCACAACATCAAGGACAGGTTGCCTGGAAAGCTTTGTCTGCACCTGCTCTAGATCCTCACCTTCCAGAACATCAGTGTTTCTACAATACATTTTTCTACTTCCCACAGACCAGCAGGGCTCTTCCCCATCTCCAGTGCCATGACAGGTGTCTTTTCTAGCTCAAGGCACTGTAAATATTTAGTTTGTACCAAAATAACAGCTCTGCTGCAGGAGACATGCCGTACATATTTCAGCTTTCCTCACTGCTGCCGTCAGCACAGCCCAGCTGGGGGAAGCACAGGCACGGACCACTGAGGAACCTCCCTCTGCACAGGGCATTTTGACCCCACTGTCACTTAGACCTGGGCTGGAAGGGACCTGTGAACAATTTAGACCATCTCTGCCACTCACTTCCACTGGATACTGTTCTTGGATTTCTTCTCGATCAACCCGATGCCTTCCAGGACATTTGTGATATCGTAGATCCGTCGCTTCTGTCGCACAGCCAAGGTATCCGCAGCCTGCAAAAAAGGTTAGACACTTAACTCCACACTCTCAGTCATGCTGAGCTCCTTCCTGCCCGTCAGACCAATTCCTGGCCAAGTACTTCACTCCCCATCTCATACCTCTGCTGTTCCAGCGCTTCAAGTTACAGAGACATAACTTGTCACAATGCCATGGGACCACGGGAAGAAGTCACTCATCCTTCGCTCCTTTCCTACCCTGCAACGTCCCTACTAAACACAAACCAAGCTCCAGCCATCCTGCTCAGAGTGGATCCAAAAATCACCATTCCCCTGCACCAAAGCAGTGCTAGAAAACACTAGTTCAGCAGCCTGAAAATTCAGTGCTCCTTCAGGGTAAAAGAGACAGGGATGGGAAGGAGAATGCTGAGGGCTGTCTGCGTGACTGGCAACAGTTCTGTGAGGTCAATATTCAAAAGGCCTTTTCTAAATCAGATCTGATGTTGCTTGATAGAGAACACTTTTTTCAAGAGGCACTTGAAAAGATACCATTTTTCCCCTGTTTAAAAGATAAGATGCCAGGTGGAGAGCAAGCATGAGCTGCCTTGCTCACACAACTCTCCTCCCCTCAGGTTTTGGGACATAAAGAACTGCATTGTTTTCACTACCACGTGGCAACCTGGCACCAGCAAGAGTTAATGTGTGCACAGCCAGGACCAGCAAAGCCAGTGGCAGCAGCCAGAGCGGGTCAGCACAGGAACCACATCCCTCCTCACTCACTCACCAGTAACGAGCCGGGACTTTGGAGACCCTGCACTGCACAGCTGAGCAAATCACAGTAACCAACATGAGCCCACTTAATGGACATCTGAAGCAGGAAAATATTGCCAAGTCCAAAGAGACAACGATTTGGCACAGGCAAGGAGCCAGGAGACTCCTCCAGCCCCTGCATGGTCGGGGCTTTCTGGCACTTGTCTGCTGCCTGTGAAGGGTCAGAGCACTTGCACACATGCCCATGTAAGAGGCATTTGTATAAACCATAGCAAAGGGACTTCACTTATAGAAAAAGCCTGGGATTAGTTACTTCCTCTAGGTGAAGATCTTAAAAAATGAAGAAGCAAGACGCATTCACAGGGCACTTCTCCACAGGCTAAAGGCATCGGGGACAACTCTGGCAGGTGAATGTGACCACGCTCCCCCTCCTGGTGTGTGCTGGGAGGTCTAAGCGCTCCAGGTAGGAACAGTTCCTATAGGTCTCGGAGGCTTTACAGGGCTGGATCATTATGATCAAGTAGCACCTTGGTGAGGGGCAAGAGCGCAGAAGAGAACGGGGCAGTCAAACCGGGTTCCAAATGAAGCACACAAACACCTGCAACGCCAGGCAAGGTTCCGGGGAGGGCAGAGCGGCTGGGACAGCCCGATGGGGTGGGGAGAAGGGCTCGGATGGAAGAGCAGGAGAGGTGTGAGGGCTGCAGGGTTGGCAGCTCTGCCGCACCCCCGGGGACCCCGCCTTCCCTGCCCCTGGAACCACAGCACCGTCACGGCTGGAAAAGCCCTCCGAGATCATCGAGCCCAACCATTAACCCGGCGCCGCCAACCCCACCGCTAAACCTGTCCCCAAGCACCACAGCCACGAGTTTTCTGAACGCTTCCCGGCGCGGTGACCCCACCGGGGTCAGTGCCCGGTCCCAGCGCCCGGCCACCCTTCCCGCGAAGAGTTTTTTCCTAGTATCCAACCTAAACCACCTGCTGCACCGGGGCGCTGCCGCGCCCGCGGGGCTCCCCCGTTCCAAACCCGCCCCGGTGCCGCCGGAGCCCCGGTGCCCCAGCGGCCGCTCCCCCCGGACCCACCCCCGGGGGCGGCGGAGCCCTCGCCCCCCCGCCGGCAGCCCCCGCACCAGCTTGAGGTCGAGCACGCCGTCCTTGGCCTCCTGCAGCAGCGACACGAACTTGGTGGTGAGCAGCCCCAGGCTCTTCTCGTGCCGGCTGGGCGCGCCCGCAGCCCCGCTGCCACCCCCGGGGGGCTGCGCCCCGCACTCCGCCATCTGCCCGCCGCCGGCTCCGGGGCCGCGCATCCGCTTCCGGGCCGCGGGGCTCCCCGGGAACCTCCGGGGCGGGGACGGGGCGGGGACGGGGGACTCCCCACCGCCGCCTCCCGGGGGCGAGGGGTGGGTGCCTGGCGGTCCGGGCATCCCCCCGGCGCGGGGGTCCCCCCGCCATGGGGTAAAGCCGCGGGGTGCGCCCATCCCCTCGCCACCCTGCCAGGGTACCAAAGCCAAACCCTCCGCCCGGTTTGCCCGGCTCGCACCGCCCGGTGACAGGGGCGATTTGCCGCTCCGACACACCCGGGAGTCCTCCACGCTGGGAATCCTCCAGCCTGTGCCTCGTGGGAGGCAGTCTGTGGCAGGGGGGATATCTCTCCAGGTCCATCCCCAGCCGTGGAGGGTCCATCCCCGCTTCCACGCCCTCTCGCCTTCGGTTCAGGCTGGCACAGTGGATCCCTTCCCGGCTGGTCCAGCCTTAGGGGGGTTCCCACTACGGATGGGCTGAGGTCTGACAGGGGCACCCGGGCATCCCGCTGTCCTCCTCGAGCCAGCGCTGGGAGCACGGAGAGGGTCTGTGTGTCCGGGGGAACGGGGGTGCAGGGGAGGACACGCGGGGTGTGACTTCCAGGACGAGAGCAAATAGCCTCAAGTTGAGGCTCCCCTCAGGAGTGGGTTAGATCGGATATTGGGAAAAATATCTTCCCGGAAAGGGTGGTCAGGCACTGGAACAGTCTGGCCGGGGCAGTGGTGGAGTCACCGTGCCCAGAGGTGTCCGAAAGGCGTGTGGATGTGTCACTTGGGAACCCGGTTTAGTGGTGGGTTTGTCAGCGCTGGGTTAACGGTTGGACTCGACGATCTTGGAGCGCTTTTCCCACCTAAATGATCCCATGGTGTCCACTCCCGAGACCTGCGGCTGTCGCGGTGCCTTCCCGTGTCCCCCCCTCCCCTCCGCCCCCCGTTCCTGACGTCCTGAGCGCGGCTGCGGGAACACAATGGGGCCCTGAGGAGCGCGGCTGCTCCGGCTGAGGAAACGGCTGCCGGCTTCCTCCGCAGCCCTGCCCTGGCCCCCGCAGCTCCACACAGCCCGGACACCATGGGCATGTCTGCGGAGGACGAGCGCGCCGCCAGCCCCAGAGGTAACGGGGGCGATGCGCCCCGGGGAGCCGGCGAACGGGGCAGGGAAGGGATGCTGCTGCTTGCAGCACATTCTGGGGGCTCTCCTGCCCTCTGCCTCACCAGCCCCTGGACCTGTTTCCTGTGCCGGGAGCTGGTGCCTTGTGTTCTTGGGTGGGGTGGAAGCCTGGCTGTGCTTCCCGATGGTGATATCTGCGCCGGGGGCAGCGCTGCTCCCCTGCACATCTTATCCTCAAAGCTGCTGTCCGAAGCCCCCCGGACCCGAGGCTGCCGGTGGCTTCCCAGCAGAGCAGGAGCCTGGCTTGGCACTGGGTGACATCCCTGCGGGGCTGCAGGGAGTGGCTGGGGATGGGGTGGGGGGAGCGATTAAACTGTCCCCCCCTCGCTGGGGACAGGGACTGGTGTGTGATAACTGCGCTGGTTCTCAGCCCTCTGCTTTGGCCAGGAGGCCTCTGACATGGCTTCGGACCCTGTGCCAAGGGGAACACTGGGCCCCCCACAGTGAGGGTGCTTCTGGAAGCTCAGGAGCCTCCCATCCTCACCTTTGCCTGGCTCTCCTTTGTGGCAGAGCTGCCACCTCTCCATCCCTCCTGCTGACTCACTGCCAGAGTCTCAGCCCTGCTGGGGACTTCCCAGGTGGCATCAGACCGCCTCAGACAACCCACCATTGTGTTTGGGGGAGCAATGGGGATATGTGCTCGGCCCAGGGACAGCCTGAGGACTCAACTGGCAGGCTGAGTCACAGTTTCCCAGGGCAGCCTTCTCACTGCCACAGCCACTGTGACAATATCCCTCTGTAGCTGTGGCACCTTGTGGGGGCCCTTGTGGAAGTACCTGCTTGGTGCCATCCTGTCCAGCTTCCCACATCGGGGTGTGCTTGGAAGTCTGCTGGCAGCCAGCTTCCTGCCTCCGGCCTCGGGGGCTCTTCCTGCCCCACTTGGTTGTGCTCGTTGACCCCTGGCTTCATCCCCAGACGAGGAGTGGCCGGAAGCAGAGAAGGCTGAGAAGCTGGCGAGAGGAGCCGCTCTGAAATGGGCTTCAGGGGTGTTTTACCGCCCCGAGAAACTGGAGGGGCTCGGGCATTACCGGAGCCGAGAGACACAGAGGAACAGCTCCATCCAGTCCCGGCTGAAGGTGGGTGTTTGCCACAGCCCACCACATGGACACCTGCAGCCTCACCACCTCTCCAGGCAGGGAACCCAGCCAGGGTGCCCTCCTGTGCGTTGAATCATCTTTCTGTCCACTTCTGGCAAAATCTTTTCCTTTGGCTGGCGCTTTGTGGGGGAAATAGCAATTGTTTGGGAGAAAAGATCTGGTAACTCCCACCTGCTGCCCTATTCTCAGGCAGTGTCCGAAGTGATAAAATGAGTCTCCCATGTTTCTGACCATCCTTCAAAATAAAACACCGAGGGGGTTCAGCACATCCCACGTGCAGGAGTCAGCGCTCCCCATCACTGCCCCATCCCAGCACCAAAGGCTGCCCCTCCTCACAGCTGGGAGGAGGCACAGAGCTCCAACCAGCCCCTGCCTTCTGGTCCCCACAGGGGAAATTCCATTTCTGCACATCTGCAAGGGCTGTTCCAGTCCCCCTGCACAACTTCCTTCCTCAGAGTGACCTTTTTACATGACCCAAGGAATGACTGACCCTGGGACCCGATCTGTCTGAGCACTGCAACCTTCTCCTGATTATTTTGGAGATGGTTTCTCCTACTCTAAGTCTGGTTGAATTATCCAGGAGGCAACTTGTTTTAAGTGATGTGGCCTCAGAGAAAGCAACTTGTTTCTGGTGATGCTGGGTAGAAGGACAGTGGCACCAGGAGATGGGCATTAAATGGGTGGATGATAGGGCATGGAGATGTGCCAGTGCCACTGCAGGGCTGGAAATGATGGAAATCCCTTTTGGAGGAGGGTTTTTACAGCCACTGAGGTACTTCAAGCATCCACATGCCTTGGGGGGTACACAAGGGCCCTGTGGCCTTCTGCTGTTTTGCAGCAGCAAAGCAGTATTTTTAAAGTGAAAGGAGGCATCTAGTTACTGCTCATCCTGTGGTCTTGGTCACCCCAAAGTGATGCCCTTCTCCCACCTCATGCACAGCAGTCATTGCCCCTCACCCCACCCCCTGTGAGCCATTCCTGCTGCTGGAGGGGGTTCCTAGAAGCTGGATGTGCAGTGGAGCGGGGCCGTCACGGAAAGTCCAAGAGATGTGATGGTCTGAGGGTGTAACCTTGAGGGGCTGGGAGGGTGCCTGCAACACAGACCGTGCAGGGCTGGGACAAATGGTGTGGGAGTCCTCCTGCCTTCTGGGGCCGCTCCACTGCCCCTCCATCCTCTTCTGCTCCCCAGTCAACCGTCCAGTCCTACCTGGAGGGGGTGAGTGCGGGGCTGGAGCAGCTGCGGTCGGCGGCGCAGGAGGTGCAGAGCGTGTGCCAGGACCTGGGGGCTGCGCGCTGGGCCTTGCTGGACAGCGCCGACCACTTCCAGGGCCTGCAGCAGATGAGGGCGCTGGTGGAGGAGCACGTCCAGCTGGCCTCCGTGGTCCAGGTGCTGCCACAGATCTTCTCGGGTAAGGCACTGGCCCGGTCCTGGTGGATTTGGGCTGGAAGGCAGAGGGGAGAACTTCAGTCCAACCCCGGGCTCCATGCAGGGCTGGTGGCAAAGCTTGAGCAGGTCGCTCTGGCTTTGTTGGTTGGGTTTGGAAAGTATCTGTGGATGGAGATTTCACTGCCTCCCCAGGGACTGATGCAGCGCCGTGTTCCCAGAGTCCCAGACCTCAGACCCTTCCCCTCACCGTCTCCCTGATAACCTGCACCCACGTCCCTGGTGCAAACCCCCTTCTCCCCCCGCGCTGAGTCCTGGCATCCCTCCTCCCTCTCCCACAGTGCACGAGGTTTTTTCCCATACCCTGCAGCTGCTCCACGGGCAGCGCCTGCTGGAGGCCCACGCGGAGCTCATGATGGTGGAGCACCTCCGGGATGACATCCTCTCCCAGCTGCACCTCCGCGGGCTCTCCAGCGCCCAGACAACCGTGCTGTCCTACTTCAGCGGCCTGCAGCAGCTCAACGAGACCCTGGCCAGGCAGCTGTGGGACATCGTGGGCAGCAGCCTGCGGCTGGTGCGGGAGGACCCCGTCCTGTTCGTCACCGCTGTACGGATCATCGAGCGGGAGGAGAAAATAGATGATACTCTGCTCCTGGAGGCCACCTTCCTGCCCCCTGGCCGCCCAAAGGGCTGGAGGCAGAAGTTCTACCACGTCCTCCAGGGCACCATCACAGGGCCCCGCTTCCGTGCTGCTCACGTGGAGGCGGAGGGGCCGGGGCTGGCCAGGCACCTGGCAGCGCTGCAGAAGGACATCGTGTCTGAGCTGCGGGTGGTGAAGGACCTGATGGTCCAGTGCGTCCCAGCTCACTACAACATCCTCGGTGTCTGCACTGCCACCTACCACCAGGCCCTCACCAGCCACCTCCAGGAGATCCTCCGGGAGGACCTGGACAAACAGGGGCTCTTCCTCCTCCTGGAATGGGCGCTCCATGTGTACCACAGGTCAGCACCAAGCCTGGCAACAACAAAGCAGGGGTTGTCGTGGAGAGCTGGGTTGTTCGCCGGCACATGAGTGGGTTGGGAGAGTGGCTCTGGCTATCAGGGGATGACCAATAGGAGGACAGAGGGACAGGTAGGAACTCTGGAAAACACAGGTCTTCCCAGCCCTCATCCACCTCTGCCTTCCAGCCCAGAGATGATGGGTCACCCTGACCTTCTCCCAGAAGTGGATGTTTCTGCTCTGGGTCCCTTGATGTCCCCTGAGCTTGTGGATCAGACAGAGAGGAGATACGTGGTGAAAGTCAAGGTGAGTGGAGCAGGGACCCCAGTGACCACCACTGAGCCAAGCATCTGCTCTGACAACAGCCCCAGACCATGAGCCTGTGGGACGAGGCCCAGGACTCACTGCTGTGCTGTGTTGGGTCTCAAGGGAGTTGGTACTTGACTTCTTGGGCCTCCTGTGGTGGGTGTCCATCCCGCAGGCCAGCGTGCTAGAGTGGATGCAGAGGACCCTGGAGGTGGAGTTCAAGGAATGGTTCAGGGAAGAGGAACCCGAGACAGACCACCAGGGATTCTTCCAGTCAGCCCTGCCTGCCATTGTCATGCAGGTGGGTCCCCAGCACCACGGGTGCAGCTGGAGCATGGCCATGCTAAGAACTCCCAAAAAGGGGGCCGTGGCCTGCGGGCTCTCCCTGACTCACCCCCACTCTCCTCTCCCGCTGCAGATGCTGAATGAGAACATCCAGGTCGCTTCCTTGATCAATGACTCTCTGCAGCAGAAGGTTTACAACATGGCCTTGGAGGAGCTCGAGGCATTTCTGGGCCGGTGAGTGGAGCCCTTCGCACCCCTGCCCATCACAGACCCCGGGTCCTGTGGCCAAGCATCACGGGCTGGTGGTGGTGATCTGCCATGGGGCACCCAACTCTCACCCAGGTCACAGAAGGCTCAACAACCTGTCTGCCCATGGAGCTGCTGTCTCAGCCCTTGAGGGCATCAGCTCTCAGGGCTCGCTGCCCAAAACGCTTCTCTGCTGAGCCCGACTGTCCCAGGTTGGGCCCTGCCCAACAATCTGTCACTCTCCAGCCTGATGGCAGGATCTGGAAAGAGCCAAGCAAGCTGGGGGGATTGTGGGAGGTCCACGTGTCCCCAGGAGCCTCCCAGCTCCGTGTCCTTGTGGTGGGACTGCTCTGCCCGCCCGTCAGGGTCTCCTCTCTGTGTCACAGCCTGCGGGAAGCCCTGGTGCAGTGCGGGAAGGAGCACCAGCAGGACCGGGCCGTGCCCAAGTACTACGTCTCCTACCTCCTGGCCATGCTCAACAACAACCTGGCTCTCAGGTAACCTCCACCAGCACCCTGTAGCTCTTGTAGTAACCCACCACCCCCAGGGAAAGCCACATACTCCCCGTGCTCCTGCACCACTGTCCCCACTGTGTTCCCAGGCTACCTGTCCCTCTCCTCTCTCTTGTAGCAACTCTGTCTCCTCCCTGCACCCCGACACTGCCCACAGAGAAGTCCCTGCATCCCTCCGGGCTGCTCTAGACAGGATGCAGAAGAAAGCCTGTCAGCTGCTGCTGGAGGAGCTGCTCCTGGACCTGCAGGTACGTTTGTCCACAGCACTGAGCCTGACAGGGCTGCAACAAACCTGGCCCCAGCAAGAACAGCCCTACAGCAACACCCCAGGCACGAGTTATTCCTGCCAGGGATCCCTGCCATGCGCTCCATGCCCTGCTATCATCCTGCAGACATCTCTGCCAGCCTGGCTCCCAGGCCTTGATAAACCACCCCATGTCTGTCACCAGCCAGCACTGCCCCATATCACTGGGGCAGATGGTTTGTGGCCCCCAAATCACCAACGGACAGAGACCAGGAGCCAGGGCCCCCCCAGGCTGCCTCATGCTCCTTCTTTCATGGCAGAAAACCAGCTGGAGAGCGGCGATGTCCGCGCGGAGGATACAAATCCATGTGCAACTGCCCAAGTCGTTTCCTGCCAGTGTAGTCAAATTTAGCTTTCCTGGAGTCTGGACCAAAAATCTGGAATAATTAACGGCGTTGCTATTTAGGGCTTGAATGCCATGAAAACAAAGGAAGAGCCAAAGGGTGAAGAGCTTGCGGGCCCCAGCAGAGACAGAGGGAATGTGTGCCTGCAGGCAGGAAGACAGGCAAGGACAGCAGGGCAGGAGTTGGAAATCAAAGCCCTCAGCCACAAACATGCTATGTCTACACGAGGGAAGTGGGGAAGAGTGGAAATTAAAAATAAAATCACAGCAAGACAGGCCAAAAGCGAGTGGTTGAGGAGCAGCTTGCTGCCCACACAGGTGCTGCACTGTGACCCAGATAAAGCCCCAAAATGGGGTTCTTAGGGTGTCAGGGAGGGACAGCCCCAGGGGGTTTCCATAATTTCCTAACCTAGACCACTCTTCTGTTTTTCTGCTGAGTTTTGGCTGGCAGCAGGGGCTTGGGGGTTTTGCAAGGCAAAGTGGCCGTGCTGCCAGGCAGCAGGTGGGCACCAGCTGAGGGTGTTGTGCCGCCCTGAGCTGGCAGCTGTTGGAGGAGTGATGTGACAATGCAGGGCACAGACGCTGCTCCTCCGCTTCTTTCAGCCCCTCTGCCTGCAGCTGCCCTCCCGCAAGTGGCTCTCTGGGTCCCAGCTCGTCGGCAGCATGTGTGAAGTGATTGACAAGTATGCAAAGCACTTCTCCCACGTCAGGAAACCCGTCTTCACGGTACCGGCTGTCCTTGGAACGGCTGCTTGTCTGTAGGGCAGGGAGGCTGGGCAGTTGGGTGCCACGTTGGGGTGCAGGGTGTGTTGGATTTGCCAGGGAGCCTGTATCCTCCAGAGCAATCCAGAGAGCACCATCACACAGAGGCGTTCAGGGCTTCCCCCCAGTCCGGCTGTTTTCTCTGTGCCTTCAGCCAAGGGTCTTCCCAGTGGGTCGTCCATGGCTTGGTGTTGTATCCAGCCCTTTTCCTCTTTGCCTTTTCCTGGGGAACTGGGGTCTGACAGGCAGGCAGTGCCAGCACTGACAGCTCTCCCCTGCCCAGCTCCTGCTGATGGAGAGCGAGCTGCTGGTGGCGAGCCAGTACCTGCGGGCGCTCATGCAGAGGAAGATGGTGTGCAAGAGCGAGGAGGAGCGGGGCCAGCTCTGCGACCGCCTGCTGCAGGACACCACACAGCTCCGGGAGCTCTTCTGTGGCCTGGTGAGAGGGGCCTGGGTGTGCTGGGGAGCTGGGGCTGTGCCACAGGAGGGGACCATCACCCAGCGAGGTCGGTTAAAGGAGCTCACAGCTCACCTCCGTCACCCTCCTGCACGTGGGGTGGGTACATCAGCCCACAGACAAGACGTGGCTGTTACACTCGCGTGGTTGTGAGGCCGAGATGGGAGGAACTGGCTGGATTAGGGATTTAGGGGGCCATCACCCTGCCCAGCAGGGATTTGTGAGGCTGCACAGCAGCCCCTGGTGGGTGGGACGTGCTCAGTGGGAAGAAAACAGCTGCAGAGAACCAGGTCCCCACGTGGGCACTGAGGACCCAGCTGTGTGTCACCAGCCACTGTGGTGACCTCCCCCGGGTCTCACACCTGGCTGCTTTCCCTCCCAGGGCCTGGATCAGAGCCAGCAGAGCCTGGAGGCCGTCTTTGCTCTGCGGGAGCTGATCTGCCTCAAAGACCCAGCACTACTCAGCCTGGAGGTGCTGGGCTTCATCACCAAGTACCCCGATGCCAGGTAAGGTACCTCCTGCGAGAGGGGGAAGGTGGGAGTCCATCCAGGAGAGCCAGTCTGGGGCTGGACCCTGTGAGGTGACATGACACTGCAGAGCAGGCAGAAACCTGAGCCTTTTCCCACTTCTCCCTGAGGCTTCCTTTTCCCATGCTCCAGATTTGAGGTGTTCTTGCAAAGCCCCGAGGGCAAAGAGGTAAAGGAAAAAGGAGTTCTGCTGTGGCAGTCACATGTCTGGTGCCCAACTAAAGCGTGAGAAATGACAAAACACCAAGTTGGAAATGTCAAAACCAAATTCACGTGGTTTGGGGGCTTATTTTTGGGCAAATTTTAAAGTTTGCCTGGTGCAAAGCACCGGCTCTCCCCTGGCCTCAGCTTGGCTTCTCCGGATCACGGGAGGTTTGTGGGACACAAGCACTGTGGATGGCAGGGTGGGCCAGCAGCTCGCCCTGACTCACCTCTCCCTCTCTGCCCAGCGACGAGCACATCTCCACCTTGCTGGACCTCCGGGGTGACGTCTCCAAGGAAGTGCGGCATGTGGTGCTGGAAATGATGGCTCAGCACCCCCAGGTCCTGCCCGAGGGCTACCGGCCCATCTTCAGCACCATCCTGGTGCCCGTGCCAGAGCTGCCCTTCTGCCTTCGCAAGGGCAAGTGTGCCTGACACTGCCCCTCAGCCAGCTCCCCCTGCCCACTGCCCCGGCACAGGGATGGACCACGGGGGCATCTCTGCAGCTGCACAGGGGGAACGGAGGTGACACGTGGCATCCCCTGCACGCAGCACCTTGTCCTGCGTTGGGGACAGTCTGGATATGTGCCATCCTCCTCTGGTCTTGCCTCACTGAGCAGACTGTCTCCTGCAAGCACCAGTGCTGGGATACCTGGATCAGGGGAAATCCAGCCTGTAGCTGTTTTGCTGGCCTGCTGGGACAGTGACTGAGGGCTGCTCAGGCCTGGCCTGTTGCCTGCAGGAGGAAGAGGTGTTGCAGACCAGACAAGAGTTTGCAGCTGGGGCAAATCCATGTCTCCATGGGGCTGTAGGGATATTTGGGTTTCTCCAAGTGTCCAGACAGCTCCCTGAGGCAGCAGGTCCAGGCCATGGATATGGAGCCTGCTACCATCCCAGCTTCCAGGCAGACTGGAGTCTTACTGGGAGCAGGCTGGCAGGAGGGTTTTAGGCACAGGAGGTCCTCTGGGCTCAGCCCTGACTCCAGCCTGGGTCCTGCATGGCTGGTGGGGAGCAGCTCAGCCAGTTCATCGTGGCCCACGGGCACGGAGAAGGGCACCCAGGGTGGTCTCCCTGCCCTGGGCAGTGCCATCAGCTCTGAGTTCCTGCTCACCTGCCAGACTTCCTGGCTCTGGCTCGTTTGCCAGTGTCCAAAACAGGACTGGAGTCCAAGGCTCTCCACCTGCTGTGTCTGCTGTGTCGAGCATCCTCCTGCTCCAAGGTTCCTCCGTGATGGGCAGCAATGCCCTGAGCACTGGCTCTCCCTCCATCCTCTGCTGCTGCCCGGCCCTTGGCTGTCTCCTCCCCAGGTGCCATAAGAAGATCAGGAGCAGCCTGTGTCCATCCTTGTGCCCAGCCCCTGCAGTGCCCTGGGAGACCTCCATGCTCTGCCACGCTTCCTTCCCTGGGGTGGGCTGCATCCTGCTGTCCTTGTGTGGCACCACTGCTGGAAATAAAGGCCTGAACTGTGCACTTGCTCTTCAGTGTCCTCAGGCTCTGCTCCCCAGAGGGTCAGGACAGGGATCAGGGCATGTGGGTGGCATGGGAGGGAGGAAGGACCATCAGCATCACCCCAGGGCTGGCTCCCTGCACCCAGTGCCACCCCAGGAGGCCACCCAGGGACACGGGGGATGATGGAGACACTGCATAACCCAGGTCCCCAGTGGAGGGGGCTGTACTGCTCCCCAGCCCTGGGGTCAGGCTCAGGCAGCTGTAGTGCTGGGGGGATGCTCAGTGGTGGGTTCAACCTCACCTTGGGGAGGTGCCCACTGCCCTCCTTGGGGCTCACAATGCGCTTGCCCAGCTGGCCACAGCTCCCACCTGCCTGGGAAGGTATCTGCCCTCCTCATTGGCTCCCACTGGCTCTGGGACTCGCTCACCTGTACCAGGGACGTGGTTCAAAGGGTGGCCCTGAGCCCTGGGAACACCCAGCTGGGACCAGCGCTTGCCTAGGCCAGGACTTCATGGCCACATGGAAAAAAAGCTCTAGTGCCAACAGAGCTGAAACAGATCTGGCACAGGATGACCTCCTACACCCCAAGCACTGGTGCCCATCCCACCACGTCCAGCCCCACTGCTACCCCAGCTGTGTGCCCACAAGCAGCCCCCCACGCCCCCCATCACAGCCCCATGGTGCTCTCCCCTCTCCAGCTCCACAGGCTGCAGTGAGAACTGACACAGCTCGTTACAGCAGCAGCCCAAGCACCCCAGGTGTCTTTAGACAGTACCTTCTCACACCCCTGTTTGCGAGGGGCTTGGCCCGTCACTGCTGCCCACAGCTGACACAAGGCCACAGGGGGACCTTGACCTGCCTAGCTACAAGCCACGTGGCCTCCTGGCCGCTATAAAGCTCGTGGCCCCCAGGGGCTCAGCCTAAACCTGTCCAGGATGGCATTCCTGTGGGTAGTTGCTTGCCTGGCCCTCGCCAGCACCGTCTCCGGTAAGTGCTGCCCTGCTGGGCGCAGGGAGGTCCTCGGGGTGCAGCAAGACAGTGGGGAGGGGGGCACAGAGCCACCTGCACCAGTGCAGGCAGCCCCCAGATACGAGGCCTGAGCTTTTGGGGTCACCCTTGTGCCCGTCTGTCTGTCCTGCAGGGTGCGGGGTGCCCAACGTCAGTCCCTCGGTGGCCTACAGCGAGAGGATCGTCAACGGGCAGAGCGCCGTGCCCGGCTCATGGCCCTGGCAGGTGTCCCTGCAGGTACAGCACCGTCCCACCCCCGGGCAGGGGCAGTGCCCTGAGCACTGCGGTGGCACAGCACGGCAGAGCAAGCCGGGCGCTGTGGCTGGGAGGTGGGTGGGCACAAGGGGAGCCCTGACCGTCCCCAGCCTGGGGGTGCTCAGCCTGCCCAGCCCCAGCTCCTCCTCTCTCTCTGCTCCCCAGACCTACAGCGGATCCCACTTCTGCGGCGGCTCCTTGATCAACCAGTACTGGGTCGTCACAGCTGCCCACTGCAACTTCAAGTAAAGAACCACGCCTGGCCAGCCCACACTGGTGCCACTGGCAGGGGTTTGGAGCGTGCTGGGCATTACTCAGTGCCACTTGGGTCAGCCCCAAACGCCTGAGCAGCCCTGGGCTTCCTCCCCAGCTGTCCCTGTGGTGGCTTCCCTTGGGTTCCTGTTCCCACCCTGGGGTGCTGGATGCCCCACGTTCCCCTGACTCTCTCTTACCTCTCGCAGCCCGAGCGCCCATGTCGTCGTCCTCGGGGAATATGACCTGAGCTCCAGCGCTGAGGCCGTTCAAGTGAAGACTGTGTCCAGGGTGAGCCAGGCTGGTCCCGGGACGGGGCTGCAGCTCCGCGCTGCGGCTGCTCCTGCGGGGCAGGGATGAAGTGCTGCGGTGTTTCTCCGCAGGCCATCACCAACCCCGGCTGGAACGCCAACACCATGAACAACGACATCACCCTGCTGAGGCTCTCCACACCCGCCCAGCTGGGATCCCGTGTGTCCCCCATCTGCCTGGCCCCCGCCGACCTGGTTCTGCCCAGCTACGCCCAGGCTGTCACCACCGGCTGGGGACGCACCAACCCCAACTGTACGTGTGCTGTGGCTCCAGGGAGGGCTGTGGGTGGCTGCTGTTCTTCCTGGGGGCTCTGAGGGTCCAGGGGTGCTGGGGGGGGTGACACATAGAATCATAGAATTGACCAGGTTGGAAAATACCTCCGAGATCATCAAGTCCAACCCTTGATCCAACCCTGCCGTGGTTACCAGACCATGGCACTGATGCCACATCCAGTCTCATCTTAAAAACCTCCAGGGACGGTGACTCCACCACCTTTCTGGGCAGCCCATTCCAATGACTGATTACTCTCTCCTGCTTGAGGAAGAAGGGGTACATTGGCACAGAGGGGAAAAGAAAGCGCTTTGCATGGCAGCACCCGTGTGTTCAGGAGCACCAGCGGGAGCTTGCCCAGGGCACCCGTGTGCTTTCCAGGAGACTCACCAACACCGAGGTGATTTAATGGTGCTTTTTCCCCTAGCTCAAGCCTTGGCTACGTCCCTGCAGCAGGTGGTCGTGCCCCTGATCTCCCAGACCCAGTGCATGCAGTACTGGGGCAACCGCATCACCAGTGCCATGATCTGTGCTGGTGGGGCCGGTGCCTCCTCCTGCCAGGTAAGGAGACGAGCTCCTGCTGCACCACAGGGTGGGCGGAGGAAGAGAAAGAAACGTGGAGTCTTGCTGAGCTCCCACTGCATCGCAGGGAGGGTGGAGGAGGGGGACATGTGGCATCTTGCATCTGTGGAGCCAGAGACTTCAGCTACAGCACCTGGCTGCGCGCAGGGGAGCAGTGGCTGGGGTGGCAGGGACCGGTCTGGAGCACATGCCAGGAGCACTGAGCACGAGTCTTCTCCGCAGGGTGACTCCGGTGGACCTCTGGTGTACCAGAGTGCCAACGGCTGGATGCTGATCGGCATCGTCTCCTGGGGAACCTCCAACTGCAACACCAACACTCCGGCCATGTACACCCGCGTCAGCCAGTTCCGCAACTGGATCGACACCATCATCGCTTAAGGGATGAAGCTGCCAGCAGTGTGATCCCTTCACTGGGATAAATATCAGATAAATATCAAATAAAGTATCAGAGTTGGCTTGTGCCAAGCGCTGCCTCTGCCTCCTTTCTTCTCATGGTGCAGACCAGGGTGGGAGGCACACGGGGGAGCCTGGGCCACCCCATGCTCCTCTCCTGAACCCAAGAACTTCCCAGAGCTGGAAGTGCCCAGCTGGGACCCAGGGGGAGGTGTGAAGCCAGGACATGACGCTCGGGCAGAGGGGGAGCAGGGCTGGCTGTGCCTCAAGGGCTGCTCAGAGGGTCTTCAAGCACAAGTACCTACACCCTGGCACCAGCCCAGAGACCACCGTGGCACTGAGGGGGGAGAAGGGTCCTTCCACTAACCCACATGTGAGGTGCCACCAGGGAAGGGACTGTGGAGCTGCAGCTCACCAGGCTCAGCACCAGCAAGCTCAGCTTGCAGTGGAGGGTGGATGCTGGTGGGTTCACAGGATCCTAAAAGATCCCTGCGTGCAGTTTAAAGCCGTGACTTGTGCAGCAGCCTGGGAACACAGAGCTGAAAGGGAGAAGTGCCGAGAGCAGCTCCAGGTCTTGGGGAAGGTGGAAAGGGGCGACTGGAGAACCTGCTGCTTCACACCTGCAGATCTGCCAGGTAACAGAGCAGGAAACTGAAGGCCATCCCGATGGAAAATTTGAAGCTGAAAACAAAGTTCAAGGTCAGGCGACAGGTTTTCACCCAAATGCTGAGACAGTGGCTGGTGCAAAAAAAAAATAAATGAAGTCTTGTGTGACATGGGAGTAACAAGACACATGTTCAATGAATTACAACCTAGTTCTTAGCTGCTCAAAATAGAGCTGGTGATGGGACACTGTGGAGAGGAGCAGGATCAGACTGTCCCAACACGAGGCATGGGGTTTGTTTTTCCTTAGCAGTGATGTGAATGCAATACAAAACCTTTCCTGTGTGAATCACAGCCCCAAAAATGTTGTAATCACTCTATCAAGCAGTTGCAGAGAGAATGTGATGCTACACAGGGACACATCCATGGGAAGGGATATGGAACATCCATGGAGAGCAAAGACAAATAGCCCGGCCTGTATGATTGAGTTTAAAAAAGATCTGCTCCAATAAAGCCCAGGGCTGATGAATTTTAGTCTGGTAGGATAAAATTTATCTTAATTTAGTAGTCTGCTCTGCAGGGAATTCCTAACTGACCTTAAAGCCAGGTGAATGTCAGAGATGTGGGAATGGGCCATGTGGGCAGAGGAAAATGGTGGCTACAAGGAGCTTCAAACAGGAATTGAACAATTGCAGGACTATGGGTCATCTGCTCCATGTGCTCAGGTCACTGTCAGCCTTCCCACCATGGGGACAGAGTCCCCTGCCCCTGAAAAATCCCCTCCTTTCCAGGAGGAGGTGGCTCAAGAGGGTGTGCACTGATCCTTTGATATTACAGGTTTTAAGCCTCCCAACCCTGCCTTCCAGCAGCAGGCTGAGTGCCTGCCTCGCCCAGAGCATCCCATGGACATCCCAGCCCTGCACAAGGTCTGCCTTGGGCAGCTGCTGCGACAAATCAGCAAACTATTTACCTTCTTGCTGTGACCCAAGAACATGTTGGAGAGGTGAGCAGCTCCCGGCTTTCCATGTGTTTACTGACCATCATTCCCAGCCTGGAAATCGGCGCCTTCCAGAAGTGAGCCCACGGGTGATCCAGGAGGCAGAAGTAATGACAGCAGAGCCACGGGGTACACAGAATACATGGACATGTTTTAGCAGACTGAGTACACCAAATAAATAATTCTGTACACTCTAATTGTAACATTATGGACTAATTACAATGATTCCAACCTCATCCAGCGCGACAGTCCCTAGAGTAAAGCCAGGACTCAAAAGGCAAGTCACAGAACGGGACACTTCTCAAAACAGTCCCATGAGGAGACTGACTGGATACGACCGGAGTTACTTCCAAACAATTCCAACCCAGCACCGGAAACTGGGCAACCAAAAATAACATCAAGTGCCGGAAGATCTCCGATCCCGAGAGCTTCCCGGGAGGTGTCTTTCCGTAGTGAAAGGCAACAGGAAAACTTGAGGCATCTGAGCGTCCAGCGCAGGAGCTGCTGGTTTGTAACACACCTCGCTGGGGCCGTGGAGCTGTTCCAGGATCTCTTCCACATTCAGCAGACAAACAGTGCAACGACACCTGTAACAGCAGCGAGACGCTCGCCCGTCACACAGGAGGGACCTACAGCATCACCAGGCAGGGGGGGACAGGGGAGAAGGAACAACTGTCACCAGGCAGAGCTCCCTCTGCTCTCAGGACACCGAGGGCGCCATTGCATCCCTGCTGCTTCACATTTATTCCTTTGGGAAGGTTCCTGCACAGAAAGGCACAGCTGGCACCTGCCTCCGGAGCACCCAAGAGCTGCGTTCTTAATCCAGGATGAAAGAGGAGACTGAGTGGTCAAAGAAAGCACCATAACCCTCCCAGGAGTGGTGAAGGCAACTCAGAGCTGGGTGTGTGGCACCGAGTGGTGCAGGCACTTTGTGGTATTTTCCAGGAGGAAGCCAAGTGGGTGAGAGGCCGGGACAAACCACCCTCCCTGCAAGTCCCAGGGCTCACGCTGCTGCCTGACAACAGCCTGCAACTCCTCCTCCCAAAAAGCTGATCTCTGTGCTGCTCTGCATCATTTAGAAAAATAAATTAAGTCAAACTATTGAGATTTTTAATTTATGCCACCTCAAACCTCCCAAATCTTTAGTATCATCACTTTAAGAACGTGGCCCCACACAGCACCACAAGAGGCCTGTAACAGCCACACACCAGTTGCCCTACGTGGTACAAGATCATATTGAGTTGAGCCTGCACTGCAAGTCCTCAAAGGGAGCCTTCTCCCATGGATGCTCTTCCCTTGCCCCAGACTCACCACAGCTCCCGCAGAGCCAAACCCAGAGCTGCTGCCCAGTAGCAGAGTGAACCATCACCCCTATTCCAGTTTGTGCATTAGATAAAAGTTGACTCTACTAGCCAAACACTTGGGTGGAAAACAGGATTGAGAAATAGAGCAGGGTCTAAGAAAGAATGTAAATTATCAGGACAGAAAAATCTGACCTAAAAGAAGAAAATATCCAGATTCCAAAGGAGTGAAGAGTCTGAGGGTTTATCACATCCAAAACAAACACATAACACAGGCCCTGCACTGCAGCTGGTTTCCACATTGCTACTGAAGCCAGCAGGTCTGAGCCCTGTTGTCTGGGCTTAAGCTCCTCACAAGGCTCTAAAGCTTTCCCTCATGCAGGGCTGTACTCTTCCAAGAACAATGCAGACCAGGAACAGGCAGGAGCATCTGGATGCTATCACAATCTCAGTGTTAAATAGCACAGACTTCTTCTGCATTGAAGGAAAGGGGGGTTTCAACCACTGGGTTGACATGTGAAGTTTTTTAGAAGCCTGAGAAGGGTGAGAAGTAAATCAAACATGGACCACTAATTGCTGTTTTAGCAAAAAGCATAGAAAAATCCACTGTGCACTCAAAAATCTGGATGTGAATCTGTAGAGCCCCTAACACTATTTCTGGAAGACCTTTTCACATTCTTTTCCAGTAACTCTCAAAAAAAAAAATCAAGGAATCAACATTCTTTGAAGCTGTAATTCTCTCCCCAAAGAGAGCAGCCAAACTCCCAGGACAAAAGGATGGGATTGTTTTACACAGTACTGCTAAGTTCCAAAAGAAAAACAACCCTAATTCCCTTTACTCCTTAAAACTGCATTTCCCTGAAACTGAATACTCTGGGAAGCAACACCCTGAGCTGCTCCACCGTGTCTCAAGATGGGAGAAAGTCCCAAACTTAGTGCCCAGAGAAGCTTTGGGTGCCCCATCCCTGGAAGCATTCAAGGCCAGCTTGGATGGGGCTTGGAGCAACCTGGTCCAGTGTCCCTGCCCACGGCAGGGGGTTGGAATGAGATGAGCTTTAAGGTCCTTTTCAACCTAAATCATTCCAGGATTCTGTACTGATTCCAGCCTCGGCATCTTTAGGTTTTGCTTTCCTGCAGTGTCCCCCAAGATGCCTCCCCAAGGCAGGTGCTGGTGAGCATCTCCTGGTGACAGTGGGGGAGTTGACTGCACATGCCTTGTGTCCCTTCCAGAGGGTGCATGTGGACTCATGCTCATCCCTGTGGAGGCTGAAATGCTGTTCCTCAGGATCAGCTGCCACAGAGGGCAGCTAATGAACATCCAGGACTAGGTCCAAGACCATCATCCAGCAAACCAACCCCCTATTCCTCTTTGTAAGAGCGTCTCACCCAGAAACAGTGGGAATGTAGCTAGGACAGGGCTGTGTTTGGACAAGGACAACACCACAGTTTGCCACTAGGTGTCATTCCAACTTCGTTTTCACTGCGTGAACCAAAGTAAGGAAAACAAAACGTACTCAGAGATTTGCACCCCAGCTAACACAAAGACTGCACTCAGCGATGGTCTGGGACATGCAGTCGTTACCTGTTTTCTCCCAGCGCATACAGGACCAAAGGAAGGCTTCCAAAAAAACCCTGCGAGCCAAATTAAGAACCACCATTAAGAGCCAAAGAAGGAGATTAAAAAAATTAAACTGAAGAGCAGAAAAAAACATTTCAGAGAGATTTTAGCTTCTAAAATCCCCAAACAAGGCACTCCTGAAAGGTGTAAACTCCTGAGATTTAAGACCTACTGAGCACAGAGATGCTCCTGCGGAATGAAGACAGATGACCAAGGTAATTCACAGTGAAGAGCTTCTCAGAGGACAGATTGAAGGCACTTGGACTATTGGCTCAGAATTACAGCACTTTGCCTGTCCCTCCCTGCACCTGACTCAGATGAAAACGCCCCAGTTGCAAGGAGAAAAGCACCCAAGGAATTGGTTTTAAGCTGGACCTTCTGACATGGCACTTGGATCTTCACAGTTTTCCGGACAGACTGAAGGAAAGATCACTGAGGACTCTGGGGACACTTGGAGGGAGCTCTGCTCGTCTCTCCTCTGCCCA